ATCCTGCCTACCCCACCTCTAAGTGGGCACTCAGCGAACCGTTGTTTTTGGCCCTCCCTACTTGACTTCGTTGCTCCAGACTGGAGGTTACCACTTGATAAACTTAGAACAGGATCTGCTGCTCAAGACAACCTTGCGAGTGAAACATCAAATGACCGATCTTGTTATTATCTCAATGAGCCATATCCTACAAGTTTCACATGTGCAATGAGAAAACCAATTGGCTGTATAATTATTGTTATTGTTGAGCTCACTGGAGCACATGAAGCCTCGCTGTGATGTGTTTTATTTTCTTACCAAGGTGATTACAATAGATCACGAGCAGGAGCTGTTTTCTATTTCAGGCCTCAACTCTCCTCATCCAGTTTTCAACTTTACCCCAAATATATTTGTTTTATCAGATATCATCCTCAGGCTTCTTCCTGCAGCCCCTCTGGCTCTGGTACCACCTGCACATGCCAGGACAAAAGCTGCTTTTTATTACCCCAGCTATTAGCATTCACACGCCAGATTTCCACGGGGGCATCGTCGTCAGAGACCATTTTATTGATAATAAGAGCCAGTCCATCATCCAACCTCCGGTTCACCTTGGTCCAAAACCGCCCACTTAACTCCACCGCAGCAGTCTGCCCTCTCAGCTGATCTGTTTTCATCAATGTGAAACACAGAGATCATTAGACATATAAGCTATATCACAGATCCTCCTACTTAGCACAACGTGTGTGTGTGTGTGCATGGGAGTGTGTGACAGCACGTGCAAGCAGACGTCCATCGATTCGCGCATATGAAAGTTCATTGGAGTATGAGTGTAAATGGTCATCTGTGTGTGTGTGTCTGTGTGTGTGTGTGTATAAGTTGTGCGTGTGTAGGCGTTGGGGGGAACCTGATCTGGTCTGTGTGGGAGGAACCGGTTCCTTTTTCCGCGCTCTCTGTTGCTCAGACAGACGTTCTGCTAGAGAGATCAGGCTCTCAGACTAACTGGACCAGAAGTCATTAGGACACACTAGACACACACACACACAGGTTTTTTTTTTTTATTCTATTGCTTCCCTTTTATAAAAAAAAAAAAAAAAATCACAGTAAGATAATCCCCGTCTCATCGGCTCATGATAGAGCTAAGATCTTTTAAACAAGACACACAGCGCCTTTTAAATCTTTGTTTCAGGAACCAGCCAGCAGCAAGGACTACTTACCCTCAAACTGTGCCCTGAGATTCAGCCTTTTGTTTCCTGGTGTTACGTTCTGGGAGGAAAAATTTGCTCTGGCACTTGAGTTTAAAGGGCATTTCAAGCAGAATGAGCCAGAACATTTTGTCTTTGGTGTAAGTGATTCTGCAGGGAGGATCATGCAACAACCTTTGTTCATTATTCGACTGCAACTCCTGCCTTTTTTTAATCAGACTTTACAAAGCTCACTCTTAACTGTTTTAGTTAATATTTTTCCTGCTAAACCCCAATTTAAATCTACACCTTTTCTCCCTTCGACACCTTTGTGAGTGATTTCATTAAAGTAAACATGACATCAGTCGGAGTAACGTTAGCTCTAAGATAGACAGCAAATGTTCAGGGCTGTTTATAGTTCCTGGGTGTTTGTGAAATTACACACACAATAAATCTGCTTTGTTTTAAGCTCGGCTTCCACTAAAAACTGTGTTTTGGCAGTGTGATCAAGTGACGTTTGAGTTTTTGTTGGTTGTTTTTCCTCACAGGGCACTTGTCACGTTGAAGGAAAAAAAGGCTCTGTAATTGGCACCTCGGTCACAGACACAGCTTTTTAGCATTGTTAAAAAATAATTTGGAAACACTGAAGTGGAGCAGCACAGGGGTCAGCCTCCAGTAAAAGAAGGCTCATTTACATTTACGTTAACGGTGGAAAATGACAAAAGAAATTTGGCGTTATGAGGTTGAAAATGTTGAACTGGGACAGTGGATACAGGGTGTCGACTGAATTAAGAGAGACTTTTCCTCCCGAACCATTTCACAGTGCGAAAAATCAAAACAGGCAAAATATTTGTCATAGTTTTCAGTTTTAGATGTATGCTGTTGTATTTATAGAGATCACACTGAGGTTAGATCCTATTATTTGAGTTGATTTAGCAATAAAGCTTTGAACTGAGTTAAACTTTAGAGTAGACACTTTGAAAAACACGTGCCAAGTCCAGATGAATATCTTAAGATATTAAAAGAAAACAAACTGAACTGCATTTAAGTCAAATGATCTGTAGTCAAATTTTCCTTGACTTTCTTGGTACTATGACAATAACAGACATGTATGTTTGACTCTAAATTTCCAATATGGTGATAGTAAATCTTGACAAATTGAGGTTCATACTAAAAATCACAAGGGCTTCTTGTCCTCAAAGGCCACCGTCGCCTTAATCACAGGAGGGGTGAAAATGAAGCGTTGAAGTCTAGGAAGAGTATTTTACTTACACTGTGTGCAGTGCATCAAGACGGCCAACACAGCACACACCACACCAATAGATTCCATCCACTTTTCACTTTGTTAACTGTACGGCCCCTTTAAGTCAAATGTGACTTCAGAGTGAACAAACAGCGGACAATAGGGTGGTTGTCAAGCTTAATGTTGCTAGCTGCTTAGCGACCTGGTACATCCTTTGTGGATGTGCAGCTCTTCTCCTTGTCAGTTTGACTTGTTTTACTTTATAAACACTCACCCCATTGCCACAAATTAATAGGTGGCTCCACAACTTATGACACCATCTAACTTTATGCTTTGTTTTTAATATTGTCCCCATGGCTGAGATATTTGTGCTTCCTTCTTCTTGCTTCCCAACCAGCGATGGTTGCTTTCCAAATTATAATCCAAAGAATTTGTGTTTTTCTGGCTGTCCTCAGGGTTCCCCCCACATATCAGGTTATACAGATTGTAAATATTAATGATATTTAATATTTAATGTTTTAAATCCTTGAAACCCTGACTGTCTGTTGAATAGATTAAAGTTAACAAAAATCACTCAGCTTACTCTAGCGGAAAATCTGACAAAGTAATCTTCAGAACCATCAAAAAACTGGACTTTGCTGACTTTTTGTCGGGAGAGGGAAATCCAGACCAAATTGGCCCAATTGTCTTAAACCAACACTCGGCAACTTTTAAACCTTCCTGTAATATTTTGCAAACGTTTGTTATTGAGTTGGACGGTAGGAACCGCTCTTCACAAAAAACTACAATTGTGCTGACTGCTTTACAGCATATCACCTCCCCCTTTCTCCATTTGCTAAAAAGATGAAAGTCGATGAGAAGCCACTATCATGGCTGATCATTTTCTCTCTCTCTCCTTATTGCTGTTTCTTATTGCGCTCCAATATCGCTGGTTTCCCACAGGCCAACTCGCTGCGTCGTGTGTCCCGTGCATTGACTGTATGGTCCCATGCATTAGCAATTAGCATCATCGTAGCTACTTAGCTTTGAGCTGCAGAGCTTGGGCCATGGTTGGCCATGATTGGCCAGACTGAAATGTCTGTCAGCTTGATAGACATTTTTGTGGTTCAATCAAAAGGAAATGTTCGTTGCGTTAGCTTGTAGGGAACTTAAAAAAAGACTGAAAACAAAGTTTACCAGCTGATTTTGCCGTGGAAAATGACAGAAATTGATTACTTTTTCTCTTTTTTTTTTTTGCTGTGGAAACGTTACCTGCTTACCATTCTGGAGCTAGAGGGGTGTCTACATCATAGTGAGGTAAGACAGGTCTCATTTGAAAGAGGAGGATGTCCTGATGTGTTCTGATGTATAATAGTGGGGTGGAGTTACGTGTCGCTGTCTTCCGGCTTCTTCTTTTATGCCGGAGTCACACATACCTGCAGCGCATGTTAAATGTGTACAAAGTGTTTATGGTGTGAAAAATTTTTAAGTTAGTTCCCAGGCTCTGATCAATTTTCACTTAAGTCTGGGACAGGTTGGAAGAATAAAACTACTCAGAGAGATGCTTAAAAGAGTGACAGAAGGACATAAACATTGGAAAAAGTACTAAGAAAAGGAACCTCTTCAGGAAAAAAAGATGGATGAGTAGACTTTTGAAAGTACTGGCAAGATCTGAAGTTCATTTTATCTTTTAAAGGTAGTCCAAGTGTTTTTCACAGGCATGAGAAATATGTCAGATAGATAGATAGATAGATAGATAGATAGATAGATAGATAGATAGATAGATAGATAGATAGATAGATAGATAGATAGATAGATAGATAGATAGAGGAAAGGAAAAGGTAAATGGTGCATAGCTAAACACACTGGAAAGCCATCACCATCCAGACTCGGTCCAGTGGCACTCCGGGGAAAAGAGAGGAAGAGCAGAGGAGGAGAAGAGCATGTGGAAAGGTAAAGAAGAGGACAGCGAGGGGACACAGGCAGATGTCCAAGCAGCCGTACCTGCAGATTCAATTCTGCTCGGCTTTTTTTTTTCTTCTTTTCCTCTTTTTCCCTCGCTCCTCAAACCCCTCTCCTCTGCCTCATCTTTAAAGCCCTGTGTCTGTCTGACTGACTGCTCTGATTTCTGTGCCCCAGAAGAGAGTGGAGGATGAAGTTTGTGAGAGAAAAGAGACTGAAAGACAGAGAGTGAGACAGTTAAAAGTGAAAATAGGGATTGAGCTGATGTGGGCAGCAGGTGCAGGCGCTCGGAGAGCTTCTCAGATATCTGCTGCTTTACATTTGTGGTTAACTACCTAAAATTTTTAAAATTATAGAACATTTGGAAAACATAACACATAAAATACATTTACACCCAGATTTACAAAAAAATTTATTGGTCATCTTGACTTATTTTCCAGCATGATGACATTTTCAGGAAGTGATTAAGTTTCCAGCATTTTTTTTTTGTTTGTTTGTTTTCATTTTGGATGCCATAAATCATTTCAATGTTTTTCATCTTTATACATTTCATTATTGCTGGTTAAATTACATAGTTTCATTATATAATGTTATATCACATAAATATACATTTATATTTCAGTTTACACATCAATAACACAGGTTTTCATGAATACAAATATGTCTTTCATAGGTTCTGAGAGTTTCTTCAATCATGTGCCATAAGTTCCTTTGACCCTCAGCGAAGAGCCACTTTAGGTGATACAGTAAAAAGTCTCTAATAGTTGTGGTTGCAGTATTTCATTGTCCTTTCAAAGTACAGTTCAAAGATGTTTGAAAAAACCCTAAAATGTAAAGAAGTCCTGCAAAGTGTTAAAAAACAGAAAATAAGAAAGGCTTAAAAGGTTCCTTCAAAGGTCTTGAAGTGAGTAAGAGGTCCTTCAAAAGTCTGGAAAGTTTCACTGGTCTGATGAGTCTTCAAGTTGCAGAAATTGTAAAATCACTGAAAGCAAAGTTTATGTGGTTTTTATCCATGTTGTTAACTTCTGATGGCCGTCTTCCTCTCTCTGTCTTTGTTCTGCAAGAGAAAGAAAAATCATCTCACATCAATGAGGATTCATTGCGAGAATCAGCTTTAAAAGGCACTACGTACAGACAGGGCTTTTTCATGCTTTTGTTGTATTCAATAGACAAAGGATATATTGGTGAAAATATGATTAAAACTGTGATTAAAACTTCTTTAGAGCAGATCCTTCTCTGATTTTAGCCTTTATACTAAACTAGCACAAATCTGGCCTCATTAGAAAGTAGGGGGTAATGTAAAGTTAGCTGGAGCTTTACTGAAAGTCTTTTCTTATCACTTTAGGAATGTTTTTGTCATAACCACTGGCTAACTGTACCTTCAACAGCTTACCCACTGTTAACTAAACTTACAAACAAGGTGGAAACGAAGCATTGATCTGTAGATGATTTTATGGTTTGATTCATGCATGGAGCTATAAAGTGATTCATCAGTTTAGCCTAATATAATAGTAGTATCTGTGCTGGTCTTCTTCCCTGCAGCTTTTAGTTTCTTTTTTCTTTTCGCTCTACTGGTCCCATAAAACTGTCAAGCCCTCACTGTGCTACAGTAGGCTATCTGGTTGCTTCATATCTGGTTTCTTTAATTTGTTTAAAGTCTTTCTCAGCTTCTTGTGTGATTTTCTAACATGCAAAGATATGTTTATGTAAGAACGTGTCCCCGGTATCACCTTTGCTATTGAGAATCAGAATTGGCTATTAAACACAGTCGAGTGATTGGTGAGAAAGCCAAGATGTGAGACATGAAAACAGTATCAATGTCATCATGTACAAGGCGTGAGCACATGAACCTGACATTTGAATGAAAAAGGTCCTCAATGAGTCAAAATAAATACATTTTGTTTTGGTAAATCTTAAAGTCCCAGTGGAGAGATTTTGATTGGTTGAGAAACGGATTGAAACTATGAGCTTCTGATAATTTTTTCCACAGCAAACATTCACTGTGAGCGATACATTGGTGGTCAAAAGAGAACAGTGTGAGATTTTTGGCAGAAAATCTTGCTTATAGATACGGGACAAGATGTCTTCAAGGGGGCGCCAAAAGTGACTCAAACCAAAAGTTCCTCATTATTTTTCACGATCTTCTGTTTTTTGTTTATAATGACCCGTGACATTTGCTTTAAGTTGTAACCAAGGTGTGTTACGTCGTTTTTAAAGCAGGGAATGGCACAGAAAGTAGGCATGTTGAGATGCCGATCTAAGTGTTTCTATTCTGTCTTGAATGTAATTAGAGTGGAGAAACTAAGTAAACTTTGACTTCATGCTGTTCAGACACACAAACACACTCACTACAGTAGCAGAGTTTCTACATTGATCATGGCAGTGGTATTTAATCGTATTAAAGCACACAGTGACATCATGAGGATATGTGTGACAGCCCTGCATGATGAAATGCTTCTCATTTATCTGCGGTATCAGGACACAGAGGCCTTGATTTCCTGGCGGGTGGGGAGACTTTCTCTATCTGGCCAGGAAAATAACATCATATTTTCCCTCCTCACTTAACCTCTGCTCCGCTCACGTCCACCACTCAACTTCCAAGCCACAGTCAAGGGATTTTATCAAAAACACCACTGAATGATGTGCAACTCAAGCCATCCACATATTTCCTATTATTTGTCATCGTTTGTGTTTGATTAACTCATAAGTTGAAAATAAACTTTGGCCTGAATAAGGTATCAATAACTTTAATTGTGGTCAACCACAAACAAACATTTCTCTTCATTCTTGTTTGAAAATGAAAAATTCATTCATGAATCAAGACACACAATGCAGCTGAATAGAAGTCTTTACTTCACTGCACCACAGTCATCTGCTGACTTTTTCCCCCCTCCTTATATTATCTGGGCTAACCCTCACAGCCCACCCACCCCCACAGCCCCCCCTCGCCCTCTTCTCATCAGCCTAACACCTGTTCCACATTTCCTCTCAGACGGAGCAAAAGGTGTAGGTGTTTGGAAAAATCCATTTGACTGACATCAACAAAGGTGGGTAGGTGTTTGGAAGCATATCAGGCAGTAATGAGAGGATGAGATCATATGATCTGGACAGGAATCATTCCTCCCACTGATTATAGTTTTTTGTGAGGAGACTCATAAACAATCAGTTTCAATACTTCCTCCAGCTGGACAGAAAGCAGAGCATCTGCATTATTTTGCTTTTATTTTGACTTAGACCATCGGACCATGACTATTTACGACTACATATGCATCATAAATAAAGGACATCTTTTTGTCTTTACAGCTGCAAGTTATGAATACATTTTATTTTTCATCAAGTTGATCAGTCATTTCTTTGTATGCAGATGATGTGATAATCTTTACATATGTTTGGGACAACAACATCTACTTGGAAAGTATCAGCTGTTGTCTCATAACGATAGAGCCATAGGTTGTGGGCTCCTGGCTCAGCAAGTGACAAGCAAAAAGAGCTCTAATTTCCATATGGACAATGTACAGTCAACTTAAGAGGCAAGTATGGAATTGGTGTTGAGACACTAAGTCTGAGAGCAGATTGAGAGCTACAAGATCCTGTGTCTGCTGATTCTGTTTTTATTTTTCATGCAGGGCCTGTGAATCATTAGCAGATTGCATTGGCAGGAGTATTTCTGAAACAACATTAAAAGTGCCTTAAGTCACTGATCATTTCATGTTTTTAAGAGCTCTATGTAATACAGCAAAGAAAAGAAAACAACTTTTATAGGGTCAACGACTCAACATCCCAGAATTCATGGTAGTCAAAAGGTTAGCTATATTTTCTAAAGTAGGGTTCAATCATTTACAGATGCTAACATTTAAAAGCGAAAACCAGTTTTAATTGTCGCTGACAGGTAAAGCTTTTCAGAATTTTTCAAGCTTATCAAAAGTTTTCATCAGTCTTGACCTGAATGAAGAGTTTTTTTTTTTTGAGTGTCTCAAGATGACTTTGGTTATAATTTGGCGCCATGCAGATGAGAATGATTAATTATTCAATAGATCAATATTGAAACGCAAGGACCTCAGGGATTCAGATACTATTGTGTCACATTTTGCAGATGTATCTGGCCTATGTCCTGTTCAGACAGTTTTCTCTCTGGCCTGTTTTATGATAGACTATCAACATTCAGTAACAAATATGAAGCACGTCAAAGCTCTGTTTAATGACTCCAACCTTCACTTGACCAAGAAGACTGAGACTCAGGAAATATGATTGAAATCATTGTTACAGTAAATTTTGAGAGTTTTATCGGGTCAGGTCAAGTGTTTTTTACCAGCTTTAAAGAGGACGTATGGTCACCCTACGTTAGTCTTGAACCAGCTGGAAGGTTGTTGAATTCATGCACAAATACTTCTAGATTAAGTCATAAAAAACAAGTTACACAAAAGTCAAAGGCAAATGAACTGGTTTGAGTCTGGTTTGAGCTTTGAGTCATAGACTGTTTATCCTATGGACAACTTGGCTCTGCCTTTCATCATTATATGAATTTGAAGCCAAATTGCTCTCGGTATTTCCGAGGTTTTCTCCACTTTCTGGAACCACCACTTGCACAGTAGTGTTGTACGCATTCTGTGGGAGAGTCGCTGTGATGACGCTCGGCTCAAACAGCGTATCCCCTGGGAGAGCTATGCAATCTTCGCACATAGGCTGTATCAAGTGTCAATCATAGAAAACATGAACCCCTTAATAACTTTTAAACTAGGAGCTGTACAGAAAAAAGAGGACTTGAGCACAAACCAGTCTTACAGTAACAATATGTCAACATCACAACCAGAGAGGAGAAAAATTTACATTCTGTGGTGTAAATTTTTAAAGTTTGTCCGTAGCGCCATAGGGATGGCTGGAGGAGGCAGGATGTATGACCTATACTGCAGCCTGTCACTAGAGGGTGCTGTTCTCGCGTTGGGTTCACCCAGCGAGGAGGCAGACTGCGTTTACTCTATATACAGTCTATGTCATGGACATGCTGAGATGCTGAAGCTTTATGTGCTCTTTTATTCAAATATACACACATTTGAATTTTTAAGAAAACCACAATGCTCATGATCCCACACTACATTAAATTCACAGCCTGAACCAAAACCACACCCAAGACTCAGATTGTGAACCTCTCCATAGTCCAGATTATCAGTGTTAATCCCCAGTCTTGAAACTACAAGTAAACCAAAACCTTCATTATTCCTGTTTTTTAAGAAGCATTGTGAGTGATAAATAAATCCCTGAGTGCATCCAACACCTTATGAACATCACAGTATTTCAAAAATAAAGGCGATGACTTCCAATTGAGCATCACCTCAGGAAGTTGTGTCTGGCTTCCAAATGGGGCCAAGAAGTGCCTTAAATGTGTGTTTTCCCTAATGAGCCCACTGACTTATAAGCCCCTTTATTATTTGGCTCGATTCATATCCTGCTGTTATTTTCTTTCTGCCAACACAAACTCTCAAACCAACAGCTGGTTGCAACAAGTGCAACCGTGCAGGAATGCAGCGTGTAAAAGTGAGGTTATTTATCAGGGTGAATAACAAACAGGAGGCAGGTCAGAGAAAAGTGAGAACATAATAAAATTCACACTCAAAACACTGTGCATGACAATTGGACTATTAACTAAATGAGATGAAATTACTCTGAAAGCAGTGCAAGCGCTGAGCAGCAGTTTGGAGAACACAGCTGTAGCTGGTTCAGTCAAAACAAGCGGAGGGGGCTTTGAGGCCGGCCTGGTAGTCAAAACAATCTCCTGAAGACTAATCGGACATGCTCGGATGACTCCTCCGCTCTCTCTTTCTGCTTTAAAACACCCACACACACACTCAAACACACACACACACACATAAACTCAGACATACCACTGAGCTCCCAAGAGGGTGATTTGTTCAACACTAATCTTATTACCTGATGATGTTTTCTTTAGATATGATATTATGATTATACCACACTGGAACAATATAATTAGTTCATTAAAGTTTAACATAAATGTAAATCTAGTCAACATTTTGTAAAGAATCTTATTAACTCTACGATCCAAACTTTGATTCTGTTTCTCCAAAAATGAGCTCTGACTGCTCCTTTACCTATAAAAGATGATTTTCCATGCACTCTCTCCTTCCTTTCCCCTTCGTTAAGCCGTTCTGTCAAATATAAACATCTAATTTAGTTCCTGGCCACGTGAAGGAGGAACAACTGGTTGGAAAAAATAATTCCACTTGGTTTCTGGCCCTGACAATCGTATAGGAAGATTGGTATTCACCCGTGAAATGAAAACTGGTAATACCCCTTTAGTTTATCGAGTGAAAATATGCGAATGTGTCTGCTCTCTCTCGTGTGTCATAAAGGCTGAAATGACCCTCATAAATGATCATCAATTAGAGGCACTATAAAGAAAAGAAACGTCAGACTTCTGAATGAAGCTGACGAACAACCCGAAGAAGTCTGTAGTCGTGTGGATACCTCACACATGAACCTGGTGTCATCTGTGGCTTTTTTTAACATCCTGATGGCTTCTGAAAACAAGGATTTATCTTAGATCGACTAATCAGATCTAATTCACACCAGCCGCCCACACATGCATTCAATTGTTCCCACATTTTAATAATCATCTATAATGAGTCCAGAACAAGGCGGACTACATTTACAGCAGTCTCAGATGACTTCATTCTGCTGCTTTAAGCACCAAACAGCACTTTATCATCAGGCTAAGATGTGCACCCTGCGACAGCCAATATGTCATTAGCTTCAGAGGATATTTACTAAAGAAAGTGCTCAGTTTAAACAGCCAACTTCTGCTTTGCTCTGTGTTTTAGATTTCTCTGAGGTTTGTTCAGCTCAGCTTTCTGTGTTTTGTTTGAATTTGCTCTGCGAGCAGCCCTCTCCCTGAAGACCAAATGACAACAGAATGATAGTTTTGCTAATAGATTTTGTTAGTTATCTGACCCGACTTCTTCTGTTGGTGTTAAATTAGAGTTTAACTGCTTCCATCTGTGCTGAAAATATACACACAGGTCCGTGCATAAAGCCTCACGTCATACACAGAGCCAGGCACTCACAGCCAGAACGTGTGTAAGAATATATTTGACAATCTCCCGCTGTAAATGCGCTTTCTTCGATGCACCTCATTAGCATAGCATGAACAAGAAGCAAACAGGCGCAGCTCTCATTCCTGAGACACAAAACATTAACTCCAGTCAGCACCACGCAGCTTTATCAGCAAATGAGGGTCATTTAGATTTCATCTCTGACCTTAAAACGTCTACTTCATTCACACAGGTGACGTCAGGCTTTTTTCCACTGATGCAGACTAATAACCAAATGCCTTTTAAAACCACAGCTATTAGTTTGCTCATGCACATGTCCTAACTGTGCGTTTTAGCTCTGTTCAGGTGCACGCTTCATTTCAGCTCTATAAAGCAGCAAAGCAAAGCTTCAGCCCCGGTCTAAAAACCAACTGTCCAAACCGGAGGATAAATAGCTAAGTTGATTATCCTGCTGAGTCGTTGGATATTTCTCTGCCTTTCTTTCACTCCTTCTCCATCTCTGTTTCCACAACTTCCTGCACACCATTAGTTTAGAAAGTGTTGAAAGCTCTGTCGTGATCCAGGGCTCCTTAAGTGAGTAATCATATATGAGGTTTTTTTTTTTTCTCTTTTTTTTAAGGGTGTCTAGAAAGACGCAATGAAGTGCTGTCTGGCTGAGAAGAAAAAATAGCTGAGGTGGAGTGAATTGCTTTTGATAAAAGTCTCTCTGAGTGTGGTGCACTGTATTTCTGTGACTGTGGGCCTGCATATATGTGTGTAAATGTGTCGTGTGTGTGTGTGAGGGCGTTTCACAGAGAGTGGTTTCCAGCCTTCTTTAACATCACCATCAAAGCCAGTCGTCAATGTGTTTCTAATAGCAGCAGCCGAATTAAACACTGGCTGAACAGGCCTCAGCAGAGGATAAATCATTTACAGAACAATTAGCTCATTTGTTGCTCCGCTCTGCACCGCCAATGACTTCCAGACACAGAGAGCCGGCCAGTGTGTGAGCATGAGCGTGTGTGTGTGTGTGTGTGTGTGTGTGTTTACTGAACGTATGAATGCTGGAAAAACGTCACTCTCTGTCGGTCACTTCCACACACAAAAAGATCAAATAATCACACACTTTTACTCTTGCACATGCCCACACAAAACACTCTTCAGTATAGATAAATCCTTTTTCACTGTGCCACTGTCTTTGCTTTCCAGGCACACACAAAACCCATCACACGTTCAAGTTTTACTGCAACCTGAGACGTAAATTTAAGTTTTTTCATGATACAAAGAAGCTGTCATCGCTTCAGTTGAGTAGATGCATCTCATTTTAATTGTAGAAACTCCAGATAAATAAATTCCTCCTGCTAGAATTAAATTGGGGTTGTGCCTTGAAACGCTTGTAAACTCGACTAACTTAAACCATCACAGAGGAGCAGCTGCCGTTTTACAGCTGCTGCACAATGAGTATCATTTTGGTCATATTTTTGCAGGATTTTTATTTAGTTTCCAAACGTATAAATATTCCTTTAATTTGTAAAATGAGCTTCTTAAATTTCCTAGAATGGAAAATGTTTGGATTTGTCACATCCAGCCTGAAAGGAAAAATCAGGGGGATCGCTGTTACTGGCTGATGGATCAACTTCTCTGTTTGCGTTTGTCTTTGAATAGAGTTGACCTTCTTGTTGTGCCCGGCCAAAAGAAATAAGACGGAACTGAAGAGGAAGCTGTAAAAATGTTTCGGGGGGATCCAGACTACGAACAATAAAGCGAGAAGATTTGAAAACGTTTTAAGGTTTGTAACAGAGAAGAGTTTTTATTTCAAGATGAGATTTTGAGATAGTAAATTAGTGTAAATTTAGTGTCAGCCGATGCAATATATTACAATGAAATCCAGAGCAATTCTAGGGGATTAGTACAAGTGATAATAACACTGAAATGGTGAAAATGTCCAAAGTTCCTATAGGTACGTTCAAACACCTGAGAGTTGCACCGATCAGCAGAGGCAGAGAGGCCTGTGCAGGACATCTGCATCAATCAACTCGACAGCACAGGGAATTCAGCAGCCCTCTGCTCACCTCCACCCTCCATCCTCTGTCCTGTACATCTCATTTACAGATGGATCCATCAGGAGCGTCCCCCTTTTTTTTTTTCAACCTGCTCGTATCAAAAGCACAAGTTGCACTCCAACTTATTCCTGCCAAACTGCTGCTGCTGCTGCTCCACCTCACGAATCAAAGCTTCTTGAAGATTTGTCAGCATAAATGTGGACCAGGAGGAATAGCTTGGCTTCTGATCAAAAGATAATAAGAAGAAATGTCCTACTGTGTGTGGATGTCAGGCCGAAAACTAAAGGGGATGACAGAGTGTCTCATAGTGGTGCATGTTTGCAGCTTGATCGTCTAACTGATCCTCTCTAGATGGCAACAGAAAAGAAAACCACAACTCTCCTGTGCTTCAGGCCGACACTGAGAAAAAGTTGACTGCTCTGAAGACCCCTAAACATGTCCTCCTTTAAGGAGACTGTGAAATGAACCTTTATGGAGATATTTAAATTTAGTAATTTCAGGAAAAAAAAATCCTCTGCACATCATGAAATCCCATCAGTATTGGAGTGAATATGTAATTCCCCCTCTCAGTGCAGTAGTCATTACTAACACACTGTTTGTTTTGAAACCGTTATACTGTATGGACACATAATAAGAGGAAATGAGCGTATACTTTTCTCACTTTCGCCCTCTCCAGCACTGGAAATAAGCATAATTGTAGCAGCGGCTCTAAGCAGAGCTGACAGCTGTGATGAACCTCAATGAGCATAAAAACATACAAAGAGAGCACAAAGTCTCCTTTTACCTCCACAATCGTTTCCTCTCCGTAATCACAGCTCTGACTCTGCCCTTTAGCCCACTTAAACCCTCCGAACGACCACTTTTCCAGGGAAAATCAAATCCTCTCAGGTGCTGCCAATCAAGGGTTAACCATTTATACTCCAGGTGAGCGTCCCGAAAAACTCAAATTCCTTGTGAGCAAATCTGGTGATTTTCTTCATTATTCAACAAATTCCACGAATAGAAAGCAGAACTACTTGAAATTGTAATCAATGCGTGATAAAGCTGTTTGATTCAGTCCTTTTCTATTCAGTTCAACAACTTAAAATAACAAATTAGTCTGATGGGCAACGACAAACACTAAACTGCTGTCCTAAACAGTATAGAACGCAAAATATAGATTACTCTGCCACTCCCTATCTCTATCCTATCTACCACTCCCTATCTGTGGATTACCCACTTCACAACACCTTGGTGGACCAAAGGACCAATGGTGGTGGACGGCTCGTCTCTCTTCGCTGCAGGACAGAAAGATTCAGAAGATCTTTTGTACCAACAGCCATCAGACGTTACAACTCTTCCATAAATAGTAGATGAGACTTAAGTGAATTTCCCTAAAATAAAGTTATTCTTATTCTTATCTGTAGACTTATAACCCCTGTTGAAGGAGACTGTTCCCACAAAAATTGATCTGCAGTTAAAAGACTTTTGCTGAGCAGCATTTACACACCTTTGTGTGTCAAATACAAAGTGCCTATTAAAAAAGGGGGGAGAGGGAGGATGTGGCAGTGTTGACATTGTCTTTTTGTATTCATTGTATAACAGAGATAGTTTTTGTTCAGCAGAAGTCGTTTTGTTTACTCAGAGATACATTGACTGTTAATCGTATTTGTTAACAAAGAAAAGAGAAAAAAAAAAGGAGAAAAGTTTTAAACCTGCATCCTAACAAAAGTGAGCGTGGAGGAATATTTCATCTGTTTTCACCCCTTTACAGGAGCGAAAATCAAATCCCTCATCTTATTTTCTACTTTCATGAGTGATGTGAACTCGGGGAAATCAAAGGATGTCAAAGTTTATGAAAACGTTCCTCGGGTTCACCTTGTGAGGAACATGAAAACAGTGAGTGTATTTTCCTCACATAGCTCACACAACAGTGAATGGCGTCCTCTGTTGTTGGGCTAATGGGAAACAGCATCAGGTGACTGACGTCAAGTTAAGTGCCTACATGTGAAGTTTTTGACATGAGAAAGTTTGAAAATTGTTTTCTACCCAGCATGCATTTACAGGTCAGTCATGTGTCTGCAGCAGAGAGCTGACAGCAGCAGATAGTATTACACAGCTCCTACTGACAGGCAGCTCTGACCTCCACCCGGCTGATCGATACACAGGGAGGCCAGGGGGGAGGAGGAGCAGGAGGGGTAGAGGAAGAGGTGTGCAAAAGTGAAGGAGGAGGATAATTAAAGAGGAGAGGTGAGGAGGAGAGAGGAGACAGGTTTCCAGGCTGAGGGTGTCTGGCTCTCAGACACTGCGGACGTCTAGGCTTTCACTCACAAAGGTTCAGAGGGGAGGCAAGAGAGAGGGTGGGGGACTCACACTGCTGAGACTCAGGTTATCCCCCCAGCTAGAGGGTCTCTGGGTTTAGACACTGAGGAGGGTATTAGCTTTCACACACTGCTGGGGTAACGGGGGAGTCTGCCAGATGTCAGCTCCTTACCCATAAATCCTGCTAAATGGGCAGCGGCTGGGTTGAAGGGGGGAAAGTTGAGAGGACGTCACCTCTCTATCATCGTCTGGACGGGCTGCTGGTGTTTGTCGAGGTGAACTCGAGGCTTATAAATCTGATGTCAGTCAGCTGATGGATGGAAGGAATTTTTCATCCTCTGCTATTTCTCATCAGACTGAGGACTTTCTCATGCGGAGAATGTTTCTGATTATGTTGATTTCCTGTGTGAGATCAATCAAAACAGAGTTGAACTTCACGTTGGATAAAGCTCCAGTTTACTGCGGCTCTGAGTGGAGAGTGGAAGAAGAACTGACTCTAAAAAGAGCAATCTGAGTGATTTCTTTGCCTCGAAAATTCAACTTGTTCCTGAGTAGTTAGGACGTGTATGCAGCACTACAATACTCCTCAAAAATGATCGGAAAATGAAGAGTTTTGTTATTTGCAGTATTTGAGTGAAAAGCATCTGAAAGGAACTTTCCTTTTCTTCTGGCGGCTTCTGTGGACAAAGCATTAGGCTCGCTCTCTCTTCACTGATCCTGTCGTGTTCATTTCTTCATCATTTTTAAAAGAAGAATCATCTCCTTCATCACTGTGAGACACTTTCTTGTAAAATGTAAATCAGGGCTCTTTACCTTTTGTCTAGATCTGACCTGAAGGCAACAGTGACAGACAGTAAAATATCAAAAACTCAATAATGGTCTCTGTGCCCTCCTGTACATCATCTGTAATCCTTGATTTAAGTCTGTATGGTAGCCCCAAACAGTGTTGAGGGTATAAGAAGTTACTTTGGTTGTCTTTCAGTGGAACAAACTTGGTCAGCGATGTTTGTCTTGATTAAAACCTTCAGCCTGACGTCAATACATTCTTACAATTATACACATGGTTTTGGAAGGATTTCACGGTCGTCTTGTCGTAAATCTAACTCACTGTGTGTGTAAATACCCTTGTAAACTTTGGATTCATATTTTCAAAAGGCAGGAAAAAGAAAACGCCACAGTTGGATTCACATCTTTTTTATGTCTAATCCTGTTTTAAAGTCTTGCTGGTGTAATAGGAAAAAAATGTCTACATGCTGTATGGTTCCCCTCTTTCTGATCTGCCCTCTCTAACTTACACAAAAACTATCTCCTCTATTCGCTCAGAGGGTTTGAGAAAGTACCACCAACTTGAAGCCACCTGCTCGAGTTCAAGGAACCCCCAACAGGACAATAACACAAAGTCCTTCACCCCCAGAAGAGGACTTTAAAGAGGTTCTGCTTTTAATATCCCTCAGGGCCAATCAGGTTTATAGGCCCAGTCACTGATCTCAGGTCAGCTTTAAACACCACACTGACCTCAAAGCACAGTGCACTTTCCCAAAAGACGCGTCACGCTGCAGAATGAACAGCTTTTCCTTTGGCTTCACTTGACTTTTCCTGTTTTAAATCTGAATAAAGTGCTGATTTCTGTTGTTTACACTATTTGAAACCACATTAAGGAAAACAAAACTTTAAAGAGGAGATTTTTGGGGAGATTCTCAACAACATTTACTTTTAGGCAAATTTGTTTTTCACTGATTGATGAATAATTTGCGTGCTTTTGCTCACCATTTTCCTCTGGTTGCTGAGGCAGAAAGTACAGATGTGTTTCGGCTGAGCTGATTGGTCGGATCCTCGACTGGGGGAGGAGTTAACGTGGAAGAAAGGTGGTGAGGGAGCGTGGCACGGCTGTCCGTCATGAAGCCCCTCGCCCAGGAGCAGGACGTTCCCCAGATGGCTGATGTAGCTGCTCGCCAAACGTAGCGTCTCGATCTTTGACAGTTTTCTGTTCACCAAATCAGAAGACAAACAAGCAGTGTGAATCTTATTTATTATGTAGTATTTCAATAAAATGCACAAGTAAATCATTGGGTTTCAAGAAATATCCACTCAGCATGAAACGCAGAGTTGCCTCAGTTGCGGGTTTAAGGCCTGTACCAGGATAAGCAGACGACCAGATACAGGAGATACCTCTACATGTTAAATGTTATCCATAGCTTAATATTGGGATGCATATTTTGTTGGAAGGTGGAACGTTTATTAAGGATTTAGCATAAAATAACAATCCTGTCTCAGTGGTACTCTTGCGTCTTCGTACCTGTCTGCAGGTTCGGTGGGGATCAGTGTCCTCAGCGCTGTGAACGCCGTGTTGACAGAATTGGTTCGATCTCTCTCCCGAGCGTTGGCTGCAGTCCTTTGGCGACCTTCACCAGGGGGAGAAGACCCAGGAGGACCAAGCCTCCCCGCCATGGCCTCAATGTCTACCGCTCCCACTCCCACTCCCCCGCACAGCTTCCTCTTCCTGTTCACCTTGATGTGAAAGGCAGATGGCGATGAGGAGGACAGGCGATAAGCGGCAGAGTTGGAGTTGTTGGACCTCTCCTCAGAACCCGACCCTTCGCTGCCGTTTTCTTCATCATCTTCGGAGAGGAGGGCGATGTCGCCGTACAAGAAGCGGCCTGCAGGAGGCGCTGTGCGCAGCATGGCAAATGTCATCTTTACGCAAGTTGATGTGGTCTATCCTGGAGAAACTTTGATGTGGAAAGTCTGCAGGTTTGTTACAAGAAATTGCTGATTTTCGTTTTGTGACTGAAAGGAAACAGCCTCTTGAATTGTTCCTTTACCCTGAAACTCTCCTCTGTCCAATATCTAACAAAGCCAGGTGAGTCAGTCCTTGAGATGCTGAATGAGGTTGAGTTTAACAGATCAGAAAGTTGATCCTTAGTCAGTGGTCAGGAGTGACCTTTCTCAGGTGTCTGCGCGTCAGTCTTGTTTTTTTCCTGGTTTGTTCAAAAAGACTTCTCATCCCACAGACAGATCTTCACTCAGGTAATCCTTTGGGGTTAAAAAGTCAAACTAAAGAGGTATGTTGCAGTCAAACGGCTCTTTGTTTGTCCTGAAAACTTCTGACTTGGTCCCCTGTTACTAAATTTGTCTGCTTACATCCCAAACTGCTTCCAGCCTGTTGCAGATCTGTGACTCTCCTTCCCTCCTTCGGTCTCTCTCAGTTTCTCTTTACGTCCTTCCCTCTCTGCCTCTCTCTCGCTCTCTCTCTCTCTCTTTTTCTGCCTCTTTGCTCCACGTGTGCCTGCTGTCTGAGTGTTTCCGTCTGCCTCGGGTCTTATAGCCGGTGGGAGGGCCGCAGGACTCGTCTGCTCCTCCCTCTGAGAGCTAATGGTCCCTCGGCTGCTGTCGAGAAGCAGGCCAGAGAGACCGGAGGCAAGAGGCGAACCATCAGCAGCAGTTTGTTTTGGCTGCACGCTGATGTGTTTAAAGGGGAATCCACCCTAAAACAGAACATGTCATCCCGGTTTGTTGGCTGGGTTTGGTGATCTTCAGGGGCCTCTGACACGCATTAATAATCTGAACCCTGTAAACATATTCACTCTGTTGGAGTGTGACTCTAAATGGCAACGCAGCTGATTAAATTAATCATCTGATGAAACAAATGTTCAACATCTGACACTTGGACCATTTAAAGTGATTTTAGCTGTGTTTTATCTTTACTGCAGAGACATACTGACCATACTACGGAGGTGGATTGCATTCATTTACAGAAAAAAAAAGGAAACTGTTTTTTGTTTTGTTTTTTTTTCTTTGCTGTTTTTTGGACATTTTTTTTCTTTCTGTTTCTCTGACCACATTTTTTCTTCTGTTTTTTGTATGAATATATTTTTCCCCTCTTTCTATTTTTCGGACAATTTTTCTTTTTCTTTTTTTCATTACATTTTTTTTCCGTCTCTCCGGTTTTTGGACACTTTTTTTTCAGTTTTACGTAATTTTTTTTTTCTGCTTTCTGTTTTTTGGACATTTTTTTCCCAACCAAGCGAGATACTTCAAATTCCTGCAAGAATCTCATACAATAAGATAATGTTAACCACCGCAGCTGCTCCAAATCAGCAGATTCTCCAGCTCCTTGATAACTTCGAGTACAGGGTCAATGAGAGTAAGGCATGTTATTAGTTAAACATAGGGTATGCAAATCCTGAGGTGCCTGCGCAAAGTAGACAAATTTATGATGATTCAATCTATCTACTTAAAGAAAGGAGTATCTTTCAGTTTCTCAAACCCAAACAGAAGTCAAACTTGATTAAACTAAACAATTGGGCCATGTTTCCTTCCAATAAATCGAGCAGAGGGGAATGAAAATGTTAAATGATCCCAGAAATTAGGAGAAAAAATTAGTCTGAAAAACAAAACAAAAAACAAAAAAACAGTAAAAATTAGAAAATTTGTTTAAAAAAAATTCTCTGAAAAACGGAAAAATACTCTGAAAAAAAAAGAGAAAAAAATTAGTCTGAAAAACAGAACAGAAAAAAATAACTCTGAAAAACATAACTTTTTTTTTTTTTTTTTTTGGTGAACATAATGTGCTTTTCTACCAAACTCTTCAAAATTCCTGTGAGGAACCTTTGGTTCGTACCGGTTTTTGTCTTCCCTGGGGACACAACAGTCTTAGCTTATTTTGTTTTCATGCTAACAATGTCATCATCAGTAGTTAATGTGAAGAAAACACAAAACAGGACTGTTTCTTCAGCTTCTTGGCTGACTCCAACCCCCTCTCACACCAGCATAACAATCATCAGTGGTATTATTTCAGTCCATTTTATAAACTTCATAAACTTTCCTAAACTTTTTTCCGTATTAAAAATAAGTGGTAAAGGATGGAACGGGATAACCTTTCACCTCCGCCTCATATTAAACTGCTGAAGATCTGCTCTCAGTCCGAGCTAAGTTTGGATCAGACAGCCAAAAGTGAGCAGAGCAGCTCTGAGAGTCCCTGTTGTTGCCTAACATGAGTGCTTAAATCATCTGTTTTTTCAAAGACTCTGTCATCAACTGAACACAAATCAAGTTCTGTTATGACTCTTTCATGTGTCCTCTCAAAGTCTGATTTTTACAAACTGACAAGTGGCAAATTTTACTCCAAGCTAGAGCAATACTTCTACCATCATCAATATCCTTCAATATCAGCTGGCAGTTAAACTCTGACTATGATTTTCAGAGACTGATGTTTTCTTTTTTCACAACAAGGGCTGAGGAGTTGGAGTGCTGCAGAAGGACTTTCCCTTTCTCCCTGTGTCGGACTTCCTCCCCTCCACCTCCCTGCTCTGGGCCGGGTTTGTCCCTGGACAGCAGGCTGAGAGGCGTGCAGCCAGAGCGCTGGACAGTTCAGGCTCGTGGTCAAAGCCAGAACGTCAGCTCAGGCAGCCGCAGCTGAGGCCTTTTATCCGTGAATGCTGTGAGGCTGCAGAGCCTGCAGGCAGTTTGTCCTCGAGGGATTCTTAGTTTTAGGGTGGGGTGTTTTTGGTGACAGAGGGATGTGTAGAAAAGGAGCTGCTTCTTTACTCACTTACAGTCCTTTTAATAATCTGTCTTCCTCTGAAAGAGACGTTAATGAGAGGAGACAGCAGAGGGAGAATATACAGAGCAGGGATAAAGACAAGAGTGGGAGAGAGTTAATGAAAGACAGATTATAATAAAAGAGATCTATTTATCAAGCAGATATTTGGACAAACGGCTTAGCATTCATTTTAACAATCTGCCCCAAAATGTAGAGGTTTTGTAACATTTTGGGAAATGAGCCTCTCCCTCAGATTTCACTAAAACTTCCACACAAACTCTGATCTGCTTTTTTAACTTAAAGTCCTTTGGATTTTATGAGCTTTGATCGAGCAACTTAACTCATTTCCAAGGAACTGACTGACCCTTAAATTTTATTTCCTGCTTTAACCGTGCAAAGTTTAAAGGTTGACAGCCTATGTAAAACTCAACTATGAAGTCTGTAATCCTCAGTGGTGCATTATTGAAAACTCTAGACCCGCCTGCCATTGCTGGTATGCTTCTTTTGTGTAGATTGGCAACAGAAAGCTGCTGCTGAAAACTAATAGCACAATGAATAACCTGTCAGTTACACAATGTTACAGTCAGCATCCATCACTGTTTTCCTCCACTGCCCGTATTTCTCTTTCTCCCTCCTTTTTCTGTCCATCTCTAGCCTTCAATCACGGCCCTAGTGTTTATCCTGTGGTGTTGACTGTATGAGCTGAGGCCAAAGCTGGCTGCTGCAGTGGGCTGCAAGAAGTGCTTGGGGCAGTGTGGATGGAGGAAGCAGACCAGTGGGACAACTATAGGGGGAGGATCAAACCACCACTGTCTGTCCACTGTATTAAAAAAACAATAAAAATCAGAGTTTTCCTCATAGTTATTAAGCATCTGATCCAGAGAGAGATGAGAGAGAATCAGGGGTTGGTCCTCAGTGATCCGGCCTGAAGGCAACGTCGGACCATACAGCAGCAGCAGCACTTGTCTGGTCCTGCCATAGACTGTATATACTATGGACAACTTGGCTCCGCCTTCCGCCAGTATACGAATTTAAAGCTGAATTGTTCTCAGTATTTTCAGGATTTTCTCCACTTTCTGGAAGCACCACTGGCGCAGTAGCATTGTACGCGGGAGATTTGCTGTGATGACGCTCGGCTCAAACAGCGTATCTCCCAGGTGAGCTACGCAATCTTCATACACCCATAGGCTGTATCAAGTGTCAATCATAGAAAACATGAACCCCTAATAACTTTAAAAATGGAGCTGCACAGAAAAAAGAGGACTTGATCACAAACCAGTCTTACAGTAACAACACGTTAACATTGCAGCCAGGGGGAAGAAAAATGTATATTCTGTGTCATTAATTTCTAACGTTTGTCCACAGCTTCATAGGGATTGCTGGAGGAGGCGGGATTTATGACCCATACTTCAGCCTGTCACCAGAGGGTGCTGTTCTCACTTCTCCCAGCAAGGAGGCAGATGGCGTTCATTCTATATACAGTCTATGGGTCCTGCCTGGTAAGCCAAGTCTGTGTGGGTTAACATTTTGTGGCTGGTGTGTATTTTTTTGTGCTGCCATGGCAGGCATGAAAATTCATAATACATTTCCTTCCATTCCTGGCAGTTAAAAAACAACTGCAGCAACAACAAAAAAGAAAGAAAAAAGAAAAAAAGGAAAAAAAAGGAAAAAATGGAAAAACCAAGAAAGTAATGGAAACAAGCAAAATGTTTTCACTACAATCATTTTTCCATTCTCCTCCAAATCTTTTGTGACACATCCGCTCACTGGATATCAAAACTGTTTGAAAACAGGCTGTCATCTGTGATCATCCGCGGCTCAAACTCGATCTACATCACATTCAGTCAAACGAAAAAGCAACTCCTTTAATCTGAGTATTACCGCAGGTCATCTGCAGTGGCCTTTACTAGACGGACTCTACAAACCAGATCTTAAACCCAATCTGTGATCCAGGTTCGAAAGCTGACTTAAAGCAGTTGCTCCGGTTTTGGAAATATCAAACGCTTTAAAGGAACTGGACCGAAAAGAAAAGAACTGCCCAACAAAAACAAACTGTGTCTTTAGAGAGCCAACACTGCAAAGCAATCAGACAGCTCATTGCTCATGTAAGGGAAAAAAACATGACAACATGAAGTAAACAATGGGCTTTGGGTCTGATTCCCTTCTGGATCAGTTGCTAACCGTAGTCAAAATAAGCCCACTCAAGTTGTTAGAAGACTTTTTAATTTTCCTCCTACTGGCAAGTCACAACAGTCCTTGAAATCGTCAAAATTCAACAAGAAAAAGGAAAGTTATCAAAGAGATTTTCCAGCTTTGGAT